CTTTCCCTAGTGTCTTTCAGGGGACTTTGAATAGAGATAGACCTAAATAGATGTGGATTGATTAAATGGATGGATGAATGAATGAATACGTGACCAAATAAAAGATGAAATGTGAAGTGTGAGCAGAGAGGTTAAGGGATCCACGAAGTTGATATTGCTCAGAAAAAAGATAATCAAGGATCCTAAGTAAAAAATAAATAAATAAAGCGGGGGATGGTTTCCACTTTGGAAAACAGTTTAGCAGTTTCTGAAAAAATATGGACTTACTTTATGATCCAGCAGTTCTACTACTAGATGTTGGAAATGAAAACATGTGTCCACACACAGACTTATACACAAATGTTTGCAGCAGCTTTATCCACAATAGCCAAAAAGTGGAAACAAACCAAATGTCCATGTACTGGGTTTACTAGTATCCCCTCTGCCCCCTCCAATTCATGTCTACCTGGAACCTATGAATGTGACCTTGTTTGGAAATAGGGTCTTTGCATATGTAATCAAGTTAAAGTGAAGTCATACTAGATTAGGGGACCTAAGTCAAATATAACTGGTGTCCTTATAAGAAGATAGCAATTTGTACTCAGAGACACAGACATACAGGGGAGAAGACTATGTGAAGATAGAAGTAGAAATGGGAGTGAGGCATCTACAAGCTAAGGGACGCCAAGGACTGTCAGCAGCCACCAGAAGCTAGAAGAGTCAAAGAAGGATCCTCCTCTAAAGCCTTTAGAGAGCATGACCCTGCTTGATTTCAGATTTCTAGCCTCCAGAACTGTGAGAGAATATATTTCTGATGTTATAAGCCACCTAGTTTGTGGTAATTTGTTACAGCAGTCCCAGGAAACAATACAGTCTATTAATTGGCGAATGGATGAACACAATGTGATAAATCCATATAATGGAATTATTCATAAATAAAAGGGAATGAAGTCCTGATACATGCTACAACATGGAGGAACCTCAAAAACATTTTGCCCAGTGAAAAAAGCCAAATATATAATATATGATCCCACTTACTGAAATGTCCAGAAAAGGCAAATCCATAGAGACAGAAAGTGATTACCTAGGGGTGGAGTAAAAATGAGGAGTGACTGTAAATGGGCATGAGGTTTCTTTTCAGGGGGATATAAGTATTCTTAAATTGTGGTAAAAGTTGCACAATTCTGTAAGCATACTAAAATTCTTTAAACTGTACGATTAAAATGGATGAATGTTGTGGTATGTAAGCTATATATATCAATAAAACCGTTTTTAAAAAATAGGGGTTCCCACCCTCCTACACTGTTGGTGGGAATGTAAACTGGTGCAGCCACTATGGAAAACAGTATGGAGGTTCCTTAAAAAACTAAAAATAGAGCCACCATATGATCCAGCGATCCCACTCCTGGACATATATCTGGAAAAGATGAAAACTCTAATTTGAAAAGATACATGCACCCAAGTGTTCATAGCAGCACTATTTACAATAGCCAAGACATGGAAACAACAAAAGTGCCCATCAACAGACAATTGGTTTAAGAAGATGTGGTATAAATATCCAATGGAGTATTACTCAGCCATAAAAAAGAATGAAATATTGCCATTTGCAGGAACATGGATGGACCTAGAGATTGTCATACTAAGTGAAGTAAGTCAGACAGAGAAAGACAAATATTATAAGTGATAAGTGATATCACTTATACGTGGAACCTAAAATAATATGCAAATCAATCTTTATATAAAACAGAAACAGACTCAGACATAGAAGACAAACATAGTTACCAAAGGGGAAAGGGATGGGGGAGGGATAAATTAGGAGTATGGGATTAACAGATACAAACTACTATACATAAAACAGATAAGCAACAGGATTTACTGTATAGCACGGGGAACTGTAGTCAATATCTTGTAATAACCTGTAATGGAAAATAATCTGAAAAAAATACATATATAACTGAAAAAATTATACTTTCTCGCTGCACATACCTCTGTCATTCTGATTAAATAGACATAAACAATTTTTTTAAAATAGGGGTTCCCATTATCCTGAAACACCCTCCTTTTGTTAGAGCTACTCCTGGGATCTCTACCTCCAGCATGTGGTTTATAGGGAAACTTGAACCATGCCACTGGGACTTTGGATGAGTTAAAGGAGAAAATGCTACATCGTTTGATAGATTGAGCTAATGTGTAAAAAAAAAAACTATACTGTGTTCTTCAAATAGAGCATTCAGTCTGAAACCTTCATCTTTCATTTCTTCCTTTTCCCACTAGGACAGGGACATTTCTGGGTATCTGGTTGGCAGGAACAATGCAAACGGAGTGGACCTGAACCGCAACTTCCCTGATCTCAATACCTACATCTACTACAATGAGAAGAACGGAGGCCCCAACCACCACTTACCCCTTCCAGACAACTGGAAAAATCAGGTATAAGATAAAATTTGCAGGCAGAAGCAGGTAAATCAGCATCTGGAATTTCTTCCCTGAATCTTCACATCAACTAAATATGCAATAATAAACCATCAACCCAATTCTGTGCTAGTCTGTCCAGAGCAATGCTAACTGTAACGTATGCCTCTTCGTATTTTTTCCCTCCCTGAGCATAGAGCCCTTCACTGAGCACATGATATTTGATGTTAGTGGTAAGAGTGGCAAAAGAGGTGAAAGTGGTATCATACTGCTGCACAGCACTTCATAATTTTATAGAATTCTTTCTCAGCTAGCGTTTCAGTTGATCATCGTAACACTCTGGTAAATGCATCAAGCAGTGTTATCCATCCCCGTTTTACAGATAACACTTATAGAAAAAATAATTTAAACTCATACAGCTAGTAATTGGTGAACTCAAGATTAAAACCCAGGTCTTCTGACTCCTCATCCAACATTCTTTCTACTGCACTATACTGTTGACAGAGAACTGCAGCGTTCTAAAGAGAAATCTCTCTTGCATGTGATGGACTGTACGCTTATCAACAATTAGCTAGAGAAAGAGGTTCAGGGAGTCTCACCCTTAGAAGAGAAGTTTTTCTTCTTCTCTTTCTGTATGACCCTTGACTACTTTACCATACTCTCATTTCCCTTACTTTCTCAATCAAAGGATCCCATCTGATGCTCCCAGACCTCTTACCCCTTGGTAATGCGAATGGTTTCAGCCTGACGGTCGTCCTGTTCCTGGGAATGACTCTTGTCGTCCTTGGAGCATCACCACCACCCTGTTTCTTACACTGTATGGGCTAGTTCTAAACATTCTCTATGAGCATCTAAACTTAGAGACTGGGGAGAGAAAATTAAAGCAGGTGGAAGGCTTTATATTGGGAGTTTCTAGATGGAATATTATCAGTTTTTTTCCCCTTGGAATTGAAGCAAAAGTCATGCCGACATGTTTAGATTTTGGATAGCAGCTATGCTCTTGGCTCAAGGCAATAATACATCAAAAATAACTTTGCACTCGTTGACATATCCAGCCAGAAGGATGTTCTGATTTATTAAACTTGTCTACATAAAATAAGGTAATTGAGCCAGTAGCAATTAAACTCCCACTGGCCCTCTGTCTGCATCTTAGAAGGAAAAAAGACAATGAGAAGTCCCTTTTGCTCTTGAGGGGCCAGGAACAGTGAGAGGCTGACCTCCTTCTGATGGATGGAGGGTTAGGACATGGAGAAAGGACTGCTTTAAAGAATCTGAGCCCTGGTCACAGAGCTGGACCAGTGCCTTTGGGATTATATCCATTCTGATTGGATGAGACTCAACATTATTCATTCAGTCTCCCTTGGAATAGAAAAGATGGAGGCCTTCACAGCTGACCCTTGGTCCAGGACGAGCCGTTAACACATTAACACCGCATAACCTCTAAGCACATCCATCTTAAGGGGAGGAAAAACAGTGAAGACTGTAAATTATTTACTTACAAGTCCAGTAGATTCAAGGCTTTCTTTAGAATACTGTCCCTCACTAGCAATATAATCTGCAATAGAAATCTGCAATAGAATGGGTGGAATCTCACTCCTTAGCCAAGACTGGCCCATATTACAGTATGTCTAATTCATGAAACTTGGGTATGACCACAGGAGAACATTCTACATGTCAACAACACAGCAGATGTGTTGGGGGAAGGAGGAGGTTGAAAACCATTGCTGTAAACCAACAATTTTCAGATATATTTACTAGAACCCTAAATTTCTGCAGAGGAGCTCCAGAAGCTACTGGAACAGTGGGTAAATTGGACCCTTTTTTGTTGCCAGAGAGAGGCCCAACTGGGACTGTGTGCTCTCCAATTCATGTTACCCCTCTTCAAACTGCTCTTTTTCTCCCTCCCTCTCTCTCTCTCCCTCTCTCTCTCCCTCTCTCCCTCTCTCTCTCTCTCTCTCTCTCTCTCTCTCTCTCTTTTGATAGACTTCATTTTTGAGCAGTTTTAGGTTCACAGCAAAATTGAGTGGAAAGTACAGAATATTACCATATATTCCCTGCTTCCCATTATCAACATCTCCCACCAGAGGGGTACATTTATTACAATGATGAACCTACATTGACTTGTCATCATCACCCAAAAGTCCAGAGTTTACATTAGGGTTCACTCTTCGTGTTGTATATTCTGTGGGTTTTCACAAAGGTATCATGACATGTATCTACCATTTTGCATCATGCACAATAGTTGCACTGCCCTAGATGACCTCTTTTTTAGCTATTGAATACTTGGTTTCCATATGAGATTTCATTTTAAACAAGTGTTCCATTCACTTAATTTGTTAAACTATCACGCAAAAGATCAAAATTTCCCCATCTGCACTTCTCATATCTGGTAGGATTCTCTTTGCTTTATTCAGACATGCCATCCTCTCAGGCCACAACCTGACAAACTCATGTAAACAGCCATCTGGCTTCAGTTGCAGCTTCACCGCCAAGCTCTCATCTCTCCTCAGGTGGAACCCGAGACCCAGGCAGTGATCCAGTGGATCCGCTCCTTCAACTTTGTCCTTTCAGCCAATCTCCATGGAGGGGCAGTGGTGGCCAATTACCCATATGACAAGTCCCTTGAGCACCGGGTCCGAGGTTTCCGCCACACTGCCAATACCCCCACGCCTGATGACACACTTTTCCAGAAGGTATGCAGAATGGCTGTCTGTCCAGCCAGAGGAACTTGGGGCTTAGGAGTGTGGCTGATGTCAAATCAGTAACACAGGACCCTGTTAGGAATGAACAAACAGAAAATGATTGAAAACACCTCCTGCTCATTAAGAGCTTACAATCTAGGGCTTCCCTGGTGGCGCAGTGGTTGAGAGTCTGCCTGCCGATGCAGGGGACATGGGTTCGTACCCCAATCCGGGAAGATCCCACATGCCGCGGAGCGGCTGGGCCCGTGAGCCATGGCCGCTGAGACTGCGTGTCCGGAGCCTGTGCTCTGCAACAGGAGAGGCCACAGCAGTGAGAGGCCTGCATACCACAAAAAAAGAAAAAAAAAAAGAGCTTACAATCTAGTATATTACATGTTGTTTTGAGTGATAAGCCATAAATTCATGAAAAAGTAAATAAATAGGAAAGCTTTTTACAGTACAGTTACCAAAATGTAAAAAAATACTTAAGCTAATGACAAGCAAGAAATATGCCAAAAGCCTAATAGTGCTGGTGGTAAGCTAGAGCATTAAATATGAATTTGGGGGCTCTAATTTACGGTTTTATGGTAATATGGCTATATTAATTAAAAATAGACCATGCACATGAAAAAGGTTTACATAATAGTTCAAAACAGCAATAGAATAAAATTAACAGATCGGTTATTTTATAGTTAATATTATTAATATATAATTAATATAATGATAACATTACTTAGTATCTCAATTTTTTTCTTTTTTTGGGCTGTACCTCGTGGCTTGCAGGATCTTAGTTCCCCGACCAGGGACCGAACCTGGGCCCCAGCCTTGAAAGTGTGGAGTCCTAACCACTGGACCGCCAGGGAATTCCCCTGTAATGATAACATTATTAATTCAACAGTTAATGAATTACATAGAGAATAACACCAGTTGTTGCTTTGCAAAGCAAGTATACTATTATATTTTCTTCTCTAGTAATCTCATTTTGTCCACTGTTATAAAATAATAATGAAAGAGAATTATAGAGATTTTGAATATATTCCTCTCTTTCCAACACACATCTCTCACCCCCAGTACGTAATTCTTTTTGTCACAAAGGTCTATCTTTCTTGCTTCTTGATTTCTCTTATAAAACTTGGCTGGAAAATGAGGTACACCTCATTGAGGTACACCTAGAAGGGAGCTTATACATTATCGAGTGCTACCCCTCACTTTGCACTTGAAGAAATTTAGGCCCAAGATAGTGGGAAAATCAGAAGATAGGTCTCCTAACTCTAGTCCACTCCATGCACACACACCCCATCTCTCTATTCCTTCTGGTATTTTCTTTCACTAAAGCAAATAATCAGTTGTTATACCTAGTGGGGTTCTTGGCCTCACCCTGCTTCTGAGTATGAGCATTGCCACATGAGTTGGGGATACTCAAGGTCGTTTTCCACCTGCTTTACCTGTAGCTGGCCAAGGTCTACTCCTATGCACATGGATGGATGCACCAAGGTTGGAACTGTGGGGATTACTTCCCAGATGGCATCACCAATGGGGCTTCCTGGTATTCTCTCAGCAAGGGTAAGAAGAGTGCTAAGCATGAGAGTGCTGTAAGCTGAAGTAGAATGGGATTCGTTTCTCCTTTTAAATTATCATTCTTTTTCACAGAGAAATGACAGGAATGCTATTTTGCATTCAAGTAGAGATCTGAAAAATGGGAAGTCTTAAGTTGGCATTTAACATCATCTTGTGATTCTTTAAAATGGAGGTGTGGACACCTTGTGGTCCATTAAAACTGGTGGTTTACATAGTGGATTAGGGCATGGGAAGGGAATAATGCAGTCAAGTGGTTAAGAGCATGGATTCTAAGGGTACACTGGGCTGAAACCAGGCTTGCCCATTCACCAGTTATGTGGCTTCAGGCTAATTACTTAACTTCTCTGTGCTTCAGTTTCCTCATCTGTACTTTAAGAATAACACTACTTGCATTGTAATTTTGATGTAAGTATTAAATAAAGCACATAGAGGATTTGGAAATGCCTGGTTTATAGATGTTAAGGTTTTCCCGTAGTAACATGAGGTATGTCTCACTTACCAAAGAAGGAGAGATGCTGGCCTGGACACAAACAGTTCCTCTGATATGTGCTCTCTGTACCCTGCCTACCCATCTCCCATCAGAAGGGGTTTGCTGTGGACAGTGGCCATTGATAACATAGCAGAAACCTCCAGCAGGAGGCTTCTCTCTCTATTCCCTGGGCTTTTCCCATCACTGAGGGTCAATATAGAACCTCTGTTCACAGACCTTCAGTAGATAGGGAACCTAAGGTTAGGGAGGAGTCTGAAGCAGGAAGCCAGGTTCTCTTAGGAATCATGTTGCAGCAGCTGTCTTTCCCCATCTTCTCACATCTGACCTGTCAGAGCCCCGGTAGTAGAAAACTCACTGGAGAGGGCTGAGCTGATGGCTGGTCCTATGGGGAGTGGGCAGGAGGAAGGTGAGGGAGTCATCATGTACTGGGAAGGCAGTAGACTTACCATGGCTGAAAACTCACTTGAACCCAAGGCAAGAAGATTTCTTTTTTTCAAAGACAGATATACATTTATTACCTTTTGTTACAGAAAGTTTAAAAATCACTAAACAAATACGATAATTTTTTTTAAAACACCTTACCTTTAATATTCATGTGGAACATCAAGTAGCATTATGTGTTACTGGAAGTTTATAAGACTAGGTAACAGATTTAAGAATCATCTTCCTTGTCACTTTACTACATCTACCAATATCTACCAATAGTTTACTGTTAATTTAAGCCAAGGCAAGAAGATTGAACTTTACTTTCTTTAGTTTGCATTAGGAAAGCAATAAGTACCCCCTCCCAAATTTAAAATATAAAATATACTTTTTTGAATTATACTTGTTTCTCCCTTTCCCTTCCCATCCTCTGGGAAAGCATGACCCACTGCCTCCACTGAGAATCATTACCCTAAATTAAAGGGGTGCAATTCCAAGATCATGAAGTTTGTATCAAAATGATAGTATGGTCTCTAGACCAGCATCGTCAGCGTCACCTGGAAACTTGTTAGAAATGTAAATGTTCACTGAATACATACTGAATCAGAACCCTGGGGTTAAGCCCCAGCAATCTGTATTTGGCATGGGGTGTTGGGTGGGAACCTGGTTGTACAAATCTGCCACCGCCCTCTTTCC